CTTGGTTAAAATTAGCATTGTACCTCCTACCGAAAGACTTATGAAGGAAACAGAAAGATTAATTTGTTAATGTCTCTTTTTTCTTTCTGATGTATGAGCTAGAGTAGTAGAGATTCAAAAGAGACACATGGTCAGTTCAGATACAAAAAAAACCAAACCCAAAACCAAGAGGAGCAAACATTTACCTCAAAGTATAAATGCAAGGCAAATTTACACTGATGCACTGAAAATTAACAAAATATTGCAGGTATTATGGGGCAGATGGACCAACAGTACTGCTTTCAGTCCAGCATCTCAGGCACAATTTAGATAAACCACAAAGCCATGTAATGGGAGGTACAGAAAGAGAAATCTCATTTGAATTGCAGAGACAAACAGCAAAATAAACTCAAAAATTTACTCTGTAACAAGGCAGTAAGTACCTCTGAATGGAAGACAATGTCCTCCTAATAAAGACAGTAGATACGAGTGACAGCAAAAGGCTTAGAAGCCAAAAGCATAAAGTGCCAGATTGTGGGTGAAATAGATGGCTCAACACTTCAGCGATTTATTGTTGGAAGTTTTTATCTCCATGTATTTATAGGATCCGCTCTCTGGGGTGTCAAAGCCAAGATATTTCCCCCCCATCCCATTCTCACACGCCCTGAGAGAGAAGGAAATGCTAATATTTACAAAAAGCACAGAGCTTTCTTGTTACTTCCACCGTGGTTCAGTAGCTGTGTAAGAAATCTAGCAATAAACAAAAAGTGGTTGTGTGTCTTGTGTTATTGTTACAGCACAAGGGGTCAGGAATCATGCATGTGTTTTCTGGCATTTAGTCAAATCTACAGAACTGTTATGGAAAGTTTATTTTCACTGGCTGCTTACACGAGTGACTACAGGTGGCAGAGACCAACGCGCTTGAATCAGCACTTCTGCACTACACAAAAAGTGACCTGTGAAAGTAGGAAAGCAGTGTTAACTTAAGAACAAAAAAAGAACAAAAAGACTGCCTTTCACCAAAGTGTAGTTGACTACAGTAAGCCCTATCGAAATGCTAAAAAAATGAGAGGGCCATTTCTTTCAAGAGTTTCTAACACATTCTTGAATAAGATTGTTGAAATCTTAAACAGTTTTCACTGAAGTGGACTTGTTTTACAGGGCACTGTCACTATGGAAGCAGTTAAAAAAACCCGAAACAATAGAACAACCAGTACAAGAAAACAAAAACCAAAACCACCACTACCTGAAAAACCAACTTAGCTTTAGATAGAAAAAGAAATGATTGTCCCACATTTTAAACTGTGGCTTGTTTGGCCAATTTAGCAAAGAATTCAGGCATTTATAAAGAATAAATACATCCTGTTTTTAAAGAAAGGCTATTATCAAAGCTCAAAGTGTCAAAATTTGACTAAATTTATAACACTCTTTTATCTCCAAAGTAAATACCAACCTACTTACAGGACTGTTTACAAGAAGTGCTTGAGCCAGGAAGACCAGTAAGAGTAACTCAACAAGAATGTCTGGCTAAAACCTAAGTACCATTATCAAATTCTGGGGATGATATAATTATTTTTTTGAATAATTATGTATTGCTGCTAGTCTCCCTTCCTTCCTCCTCCAAGGTCAAGGGAAATAAAGCTTAATCAGAAGTCTACTTCCTTCAAAAGACTTGTGTTAAAAGGAAAGCAACTCATGAAACTGTTAGGAGATAAGAATGGGTAGATAAACCATGCCACAAAATTAATATGGAGGTTTTAAAAATAAGACTTCCTTTAGATCCAGCAAACGAAGTAATTTATTTCTTTAGAAGTAGATTCATAGAGCAGCTGTTAAAAGCAAGGCTGCACCAGCATTTTCCTTGATAAGGAAGAGAGGAGTAGCACTGTACAACCTGGACTCCATCCTCAGCTTTAGAGTTGTGATCTGCAAGCAGTCACTTGTGAATTTCAAAGATATCGAAGCAAACAATGCAAGCTACAATTTCTTTCAGAGAAAATGCTCTTACTGTCCCACTATCTTGAGCTTTGTGGAATGTCTGAATGGCTCAAGAAGGGGAATCATTCCCCACAACACCAGGTGCTGGGCTTCTCATTTTCCATGTTTGAGAGCCCACTGCTGTTCCCCATCTCTTCCCACTCACTCACCTTTGCACAGTGCTCTCTCAGATCTTGCCTTCTTATCCCACAACTGTGAGGTGACAGCAGCTGCCCACCTTCTTGCTTGCCTAACACCTCACTCACCCTCATCCAACAACATCTGACACTCACCCTCAGCCTGTAATTTCTAGTCCTCTATTCCATATAAAACCATAACCTTCAATTGTGTTACACTCCTCATACTCATTTTGTTTTCTTTCCAGTCATTAAAACTCCCACTTACTACAAAATGGTCACTCAACCCAATTCTCCTCAACCCTTTAAGGAGCATTTAATTCCCTATAAATACCTTCATACAACTGCTCTGCTCTTTGGTTTTTGTGACCCTTCCCAAAAAGGCCCCCACTGTTCTTCACAGACTCCCAAGTTCTCCAGTTGCTTCTCTCTAATATTTTGACTGTTTCCCATAATAACATATATATCATTATGGATCTCCAACATGATTGAACAGCATTGAATGCTCTATGAATTCATAGCAAAATTTCACCCTGGCCTCCCCTGCTATAAATGTCTTACTTTTTCCCTTTGCCTTACAAAGGCTGCCTCCTCCAGCTTCATGGTACCAGCGGTGACAAACCCACTGTCTGCACACCATCTGTTACCTTAGGCCTCATCTTATTGTATCAGATGGACATTCCTGACATTTTCCAAGAGAAATCTAAAAAGATTGGACAGAACTTAGTTATCTGACATTCTAAGCAAGTAACCAAACCTTCCATTATCTCCTGTACACCAGCCTTCTAAACTCAGAAAAATTTCAGGCCACACACTTCTTTTTGAGTGGACATTAACACTATGGTGCAGACATACTGACTTGACCTCGTATTTTCTTTTGATCAAAAAATCACAGAATGGTTTGGGAACCAAAGATCATTTGGTTCCAACCCCCTGCCATGGGCAGGAAGTCCTTCCATTAGACCAGGTTCCTCAGAGCCCCATCCAACCTGACCTTCAACACTTCCAGGAATGGACATCCCCAGCTTCTGTGGGCAATCTGTTCCAGTGTGTCACCACCCTCAAAGTAACAAATTTATTTTTAATATCTAATCTAAACCTATTCTCTTTCAGTGTAAAGCAATTCCACCTTGTCCTATCATTACCTGGCTTGTAAAAAGTCCCTCCCCAGCTTTCATGTGGGACCCTTTAGGTATTGGAAAGTGCTGCAAGATCTCCCCAGAGCGTTCTGCTCTCCAGGCTGAATACTATAAATCTGCAGAGTACCTTTACAAAAGTCCTAATTTCCTGTAAGAAAGAATGCCAGAAGATGGGCAATTATTTGCACAAAGTCCTAGGACGATTAATGTCACCTTTATGCATAGAGATCTTAGAGGATCTCTAGGTTTCATTCTTCACTGCATCACACACTGGTTAATCATCAAAAACAGCACAGAAAAGACACAAAGTTCTTGTGGAAGAACACTTAATCTTGTACAGCCACAAGTGATACAACTTTCCACTACCAAGTTCCTTATGCATTTGCATGAATCCCCTTCTGTACTTTGGACGAAGTAACTAAGGGCTGCCTTATTTTGCTTCTTGCATAAATATTGGACTGAACCACGAGGATGTAGGCTTGTAGTCTCTGTCAGATGGGGAAACAGAGCTCTCAAGAGTGACAAAACAAGTACAGTTATTTCTGATTTATATGTGAGGAATGCAAGCACACAGAGACGGGGACTTCCAAAGAATCTACGGGATGAAACACGCAGTGCATGCCAACTTCCTTACTCTGCTTATGACCTGGAAAACAACCTTCATATTTTGCAGTCTGGCTATTTCTAATTTTGAAGGCTACAGAGGAAAGGAAAACAGCCTAGTAGCACACTGGATCTGTACATAGAGCATCTCTCAGCTCACTCAACAGCAAAGCACCTGCACTTCTCCAGCTCTTTCCAAACCAGCAGATATTACAACACAGGAAAGAGAGATCAAAGGGACTCTGTTGACAGCCATCCAAAACAATGCACTCACTCTGCAGCCAGCGCAGTGAGCCAGAAAGGGAATGAAGCACAGGCCTTCACAGAGCAACATGGGGCTAGACCAGGAAAACACACCTGGCTGAATGGTAGTGGCTTGGCCACACAAGATGTTGATGGCATGACTTAGCTGGACATACATTTATAAGATCCCACTTTAAGAGTTTTTTCCCCAACCTAAAATAGTTTGTGATTATCTAGAGATTGAACATGGAGCCACAGACTTGTGAATTCTCATTCCCTCTCTGCCATAGGCTATTCCATTACCCTCAACTCCTGTGCCTCAATATCTCACCATCTATTTCACTGAAGTACTGTGAAAGCTACTGGAAATTTGTGGAAAGAGAAATAAAGATAGACACATATGAACTATTACAGCTAATACTTCATTTGTTATCAAGTGTCAACCTTTAGTGCTATGTAACATGCACATTTTTCCTGCATGAATTAATTTAACCCAAAATGATTAGAGCAGTAAGGAAAAGTTCATGATTATTTATATGCTACATCTCCATTCTCCAAAATGCACGTCATTTTTGAAAGTGTACTTTTCCATCCTTGAAAAGGGCTTAAAGGAAATAGTAAAACTATGTACTTCTCAAAGTAAAACATTGCCCACTCTATTTTAAATAATGATTACAAATGACTGTTGAAAATAAAAACAGTTTTACATTTTGAGGATACTGCTTACAGTTAGCCACATTCCCCACCTGATATGGGTTTAAATAAGGATTCAATATTGCTGAAGATAGGCTACTGAAAAGGCTGTTCAGCAGTTTCAAGCCATGCTCATGACCCTTCAGGATAGAGCAAATTCAAAGAAGATTAACCATTAAAATCCATTAACAACACATTGGAATAAACACATTATAAATAACTCTCTTACCTATGAGTATCCTGTTCTTGGCAATACCATTCTTAACCTCATCGTTGATCAGGTCTGTAAGGCCCCAGCACATGGAATCAATGCTTTCAATGTGTTCAGGACAGTCATTACAGATCTTATACCTGTCAAACCACACATTGGAAAAGGCTCCTTTCATAGGTGTATATGGCCTAGAGTGGTGGAAGGAAGGAAAACAAATGATTAAACAAGCACAGGATCAATGCCTTGATCATATGTATTAAATAAAAAAATTCAGTGTATCTCCAGCAAAGGAGAGAATAAACCTCTTTGCATTTACATTCAGTCAAATTGCATTTCCTTGCATTGAAGTCATGGTCCTTCAAGAATGAAGCCAACATTTGGAAACTATGTAAAATGCAATTTTCAGACAGTTCAATGTTAAGGTTGGTTAGGTCAGCTAAACATTTTAAATCTTAAGTCTGTCAAGAAGCTCCTAATCCTTAACAAAGTTAGGGTTGAAATCCATGCTGGAATATGACAAACTGAAGTAACTTCTAAACAAGACAGTTTTGCAGGATCTAACTTTATGGAATCCAATTGCCTAATTCTTGACAAAACTGACAGGGGATGGGTGTTATGAACCTCTAGGTATTTAAAAATAAAACTTGCCAATTTTTCTTTCTGTCAAATAAATACAGCCGTCCACATCTTAATGGGGCAGGTATCTCATAAACATAACTGAAAGAAATGCCATGTGCTTACTGAACTGGTGCACAAACAAGAGTTATGACACTCCTCACCCGAATACTGTGTTGTCAGAATGTTATTTTAAGTGCTTCAACATGCTGCCCAAATGCTAGATAATCAAGAAACCTTCAATTCAAAGAAGCCTTTTCTTTGGTTTTAAATAAAGATGATTAATAGAGCCCTGAAATCCCAAGAAAGGTGATCTAATTGTCCTGCAATGGCTCTACAATATATTAAAAAACATACTGCTATGAGATTGATCATCTCAAACAAAGCCCCTTGAAACCCTTATTTGTTATGTTCAACCAGGGCAAATTCTTCACTTTTACTTAAGCTTAGATCAGATTACAATCATCATCCACAAAGCAGACAGCTTTTGATACATTTCTGGATGGGAACACACTAAAAATGCTAAAGCTGACTTCTGCGCCGCCTCTGGAATTTTTTCAATGCTAGGATTAAGCAAAGCCACAACTAACCTAAAATGAGAAAGCCACTAATTCAGTTATTTTTAATGAAGTAACAAATTCTGCCTTTATTAACACCAGAGAGGCTTCACATATGCAAACAGCTATTCCTAAACCAGTACTACCACTAGGATGAGTGCTCAAGATAATACTATATGGACTATTCAGTCATAAAGTAAAAAATGAGAGAACATAGGTTTTATTCTGCCTGTTGTCATGAACACAAAAAAAAGCCCATGACTTAAAAATTCTTAAGAAAAATATACTGAAAGAGGCAACAAACAGCAACAGATAGGTACAAACAGAAACACTACAGGTTCATCTTTTTCAGCAGAGCTTCTTGGTACCTAAAATGTACTGTTATTGAAAGTCCCATACAGTATGTGGTTAAGTGCCTTAAGTAATCCCTCATTTCTTTAATTCAAAACAAATTGTATACTCAAGCATCAGATTTTTAAAAACTGAGCGATTAGTTTTCAAGGTAGCCCTTACTTGTCTATTAAAAAGTTAACTCCAAAATTAAAGGAAATTCAGTGGAAATATCTTGTATACCCAGCAACTTAAAGCTGCATTTAAAAATAGTATTAATTTGTTTTCTTGATTGTAGTTTCTTTGGAATTCTGTCTCCAGAGATGAATTGATCAACACCTAAGAAATACGATTACAAATATCTAATTCACAAAAGTCAGTTTCTAAGAGCAGACATTCCAGTCACATCTACCAAGAGCAGAATCAATGGAGTTTCTGGAAGTCACTTGGACAATGTGATGTACAACAGATTAAATGCCTGGGTAAACAGCATTTAATCCATTATTTTAGCTTCTCTCAAACACTTTTACATCAATCCTGGTTAAAATGCTTAGCAGCCAGAGTGCTTCATCTTCTAGTAAAGTCAGAGTACCTAATATTTGTGTAAGAAAAGATGCGAAAGGTTTTAGTATTACTACAGCAGGTTGACCTGGACTTATTATTACAGCAGGTTAACCTCCAGGATTTATATGGAACATAGATACATACATATACTGCATTACAGCAATTCACTTTTACATCCCATAAATATTAAAACATGTTTCCCCACAACTAAATGACAAGCTCATGACATTTAAAACAGATCAAAATTCATCATGAGATTATAATACTTGATCAAATGTTGAAACTCAGGACTTCTACTTGCTGTTTTTGTTAATTCATAATTAACAAAATTCTTCATAAGGCAGATGAAAGACCAATATCTTTCAAGCCCACAGGAAAAGACCCCCAAGCAAACAGACAAGTGGCTTTCAGCTGCCCCAAAACATCCTTGCAAGCACTCTTGATTTCTCAGAAATGCATTAAAAATAACCTTTACATAAAGCTGAGAAGTAAGATTCTTTTAATGGTTCACCCAACTGGCACATCTGTTTTAGTCATGCACCTTTTTCTTGAAATAATCCCTTTATTAGCTGGCACACTACAACTCAGACATTACCATGGTAAACAAATATGTTTGGCATGGAACCATCGGTAAAGCTCCAAGAATACAGCACCAAATTTTTTCATAGAATTAAACCACAAAAAAAAAAAAAATCCCTATGTTAAGGTGACATGAGAAGCTGGACTGAAAATATGCAAAAGCAAAAAAAAATACAGAGTGCAGTGGAAACTCCATCCAACAAGATTAATATGGTCAGTTAAGGACAATGTCAGGCCAAATAATCAGCTTTAAGTTTGGAATTTTTTTTGCTTTCTTAAGTTTAATTAAAACTCATACTATCAGTCCATCTATGCCTCACTTTCTTTATTCTCTTTTAAAAATGATACTAGAAATAAAGATCTGTGTCCCTAAACCTATGTGCTGTTGAAAGTGGGAATGAAAATATAGAGCCCCCCAAGCTGTGTGGACATTTTTTCTTATTTGGTTTTAAGGGGTATGTGTGAGTATGTTTTGCTTGTTCTGGAGCACATAAAAGATTCAAATCCGTATAAGAAAACAAGAATCCTCTCTCTGTGTAAATCCAGCTTCCAAACTTGTATCCATGTTTAAGAGACACTTGAAAGAAAGTTCAATTTGTATGAATTTCTTTCTTTACATTTAAAAGTTAGGAGAACGGACAGCAAAGGAGACATGGCTAGTATCAAACACTGTTTAAGGAACTGCAGGTATTAGGAGGATTAGAATCTTTAAAATGCTTCCCAACACCCCCAAATCACTCTAAATCATGTTTTCTGATTATTTTATAGCTCCTATTTGTAAGGGTGTCATTGTAGATCAATACATCTCTTTTATGAGAGTGCAATCTCAAGAAGATCCTACACAACACTTCAATGTCTTAAAAGGAAAATACATACTGTAATATCTAAGTACTTATCATCCTTTCCCTCTCAGACAGAAGTATTTTTCACTGTTGATTTCACTGCAAAGTTTCAAAGCAACACATATCATTACAGATTTTACAAACTCAAGATAGATTAGGTTCTGCTAACCTGAGTTCTGTAGTAATGAAGAAAACATGATGAAAAGTAGGTAGCAGCAACACCATCTATCTCCACCTTTCTGAGGCACGAATATATCCTCGAGACCTTCTTACTTATGTTTAGAATTGTGCCAGCTAGTCTGAAATTATCTTAACAGAAATGGAGAGCAACCCAGTGACGCTACACAAGGTTCAAATTCAGAACTCAAACCATGGCAAATGATGCTATTAGCATATTGATTCACATAAAACTACAGGTGGTTTAGTTCATTACCCAATAAATCACTGTCCCTATCCCTTTTAAGACAGCAGACATGCCAGCAGTTTTAGCTGCTTTAAATGAGACAGCACACTGATAAATGGCAAGTATTCTTCCCCCAACTCTTTCTCCTGATGCACAATTGTATCACTGCTTCATGCTCAGCACTATGATCACCCTGCATTAGCAGACACATAAACCCAGACCTCTGATGCTGGCTTACAGGCTTCCAGACAGAACTTCCCGAAAAGTCAGACAGAACTGGAAATTTATAGTGAAGTTGGGCTTCAAGATTGAAATAGAGACAAAGAAGGATAAAAAATTACTGAAATCCTCATTTTTTTCCTGCTTCCCAAACCCAACTCCTCTCAGTTAGGAGGTAGGACCTCTCAAATTGCAGTGTTGTCTTTCAGAAGGCTGTGCACCCTCTGAAAAAATCTACAGGGCACATCACCACAGTAGTTCCACATTGTTCTGCTGAGACTCCAGCTGGAGAACTACATCCAGTCCTGGAATCCTCGGAACAGGAAAGACATAGATTTGTTGGAGCTGGTCCAGAGGAGGGTCACAGAAATGATCAGATCACCTCTTCCCACAAAGAAAGGCTGAGAGAGTTGGGTTTGTTCAGCCTGAGGGAGACAAAGCTCCAGGGAGACCTTACTGAAGCCTTCCAGTACTTAAAGGGACCTATAAGAAAGATGGGAACACACCTTTTAGTGGGACCTGCTGCAACAGGAAAAGGGGGAATAACTTTCAATTTAAATTGGTTGGATTTAGACAAGATATAAGGAAGACTGGTTTTTATAAGACGGGTGTTGAAACACCATCCCAGGTTGAATAGATGCCCCACCCCCGGAAATATTTAAGAACAGGTTGGATGGGACTTCAAGCAACATGATATAGTTGAAGACGTCCCAGCTCGTTGTTGGGGGGGGTTAAACTAGATAACCTTGAAAGGTCCCCTCCAATCCAAAACACTGAGTGGTTCTAGAAGCAAGTCTTGACTCTCTTAAAGCTGATGGCAGGTTTTTTGAATGAAAGCAAATTAATCCCTAATCCGGAATTCTCCCACAGCATAATGTCACTGCTGAATTTCCATAGAAAATTTAGGTCCAAAATATGCTTTGTAATTCCCACTGTCTGCTTGAAGCAGAAAGCAAATTTTAAAAGAAATGGGGAAGAAAGCAGAGAATCCAGCTAGTCAAATAAGAAGTATAAATCAGAAACTCTAGTCCAAGGTACATCTTGTGCTAAAACTGAGAGTCAGCATATCTCAACAATGA